TATATATATATATATATATATATATATATATATATATATATATATATATATATATATATATATATATATATATATGCGCATGCAATCTTCTCGTTTGGAAGTGAAGCCTTCCCGTCGTATTCAAATACTATCATAAATTATATTAACTATATGTATCAATAATTGTATTTAAAGAATTTTGAGATTTGAAGAATGTGAAAGCCAAAAAATGTCAAACAAATAAATAGGTAGTCACATAAGAGAGATGTCATGTTAGCTTTAGTAAGTCAAAAATATCATACAAGTACTAAATCAAAAGTATTGGATAATTAAATAAAATTTGATGCCATAAAAGACCACATAAATGGATATTTTATTAATAGTAATAAATATCAATTATAATGGTAGAGGATAGTTGATTAATCATATTTAGAGGCATTTGGGGTAAATGCAAAATTAGGGGAAACATGTTGTCTTCTAGTTTCAAACAATTAAAAGCGTAATCCCTCCTATAATGACCTAAAGAATCTGTAAAAGAGATCCGAATGCAAATTGGAAAAGGATAATTTTCTTGTGCTCAAGTCAAAATTATACTCTGTAAGAAAAAAACCGAAAAACATAACGAAATTAAATTGGATAATCAAGACATCAAATATAGAGAGGCATCAATTTTTGGTTATCACACGGTATCAACGTATTTGCCATTAATCGGACTGATGAAGCATTCTGACACACATTATATATATTATTAACCACTCTGAATGTAATAAGGAGTTATGATAAACACATAGAAAGTCTCAATACCTCATTGAAGACAGAGTAACTAACAGTGTGAACAAAGTAAATGATAGACACACATATTCACAGATTCCACCATGGCCTTCAAAGAAAAAATGCAAATTTACCATCATAAACAGAATAACTTTGCCAGTGTACAGAGAAATATCTCGCTCATGGAATAAACTGGATATTAATATAAACTGAATTACAAAATAAGTGTGATTCCTCCATGGCCCAAAATAAAAATAATCTTTGGCACATGCTCCTCCAATTTCCTCAATTCTTTCATTAATTCGAGTTCAATTTACTACCACGTGAATATAAACTTAAATGTAAACTAATATTGTAGTAAAAGAAAGAAGAAGGTCGCTCAAGCATAAGATTTTTCTTCAAAGTGTGGTACATATAAATAAAAGAACACAATCAAATAGAAATCCAAACAAATTTGACAACAGACTAAAACTTTATGTAGAATTGCAAATCAAGTGAATCAAACTCATGATGAAAACTTCTTTAAGGGATAAAACATACGTTCGATGACCACTGGTTGCAGGTGCCTCTCCCAATTCAATTAAAGCCGCTTCTAATTCACTGCTTTTCCGTTGGAACGAAAGCTTAATTTTTAATTTTCTGTATTTCAATATCATTTCAATTTGTTAGTGCTGAACTTTAGAAGTGGAAATGTATTAAAGATTGGTTGTGAAGCAGCGTATTGCTTTCTTTCTACTTTAAGAACCATCATTATATTTAATGATTTAACCTTCCAATAACCAGGAAAGTACCCGTTCAAATTGCTACCATTATTAGAATTAATGTTGTAACTGCTCCACTCCTTTTGGAAGAGCACGATCTTTAATAGTATAAATTTCAATATTAAATGGAAGTTTTATATAATAGTAATAGAGAATATAAATAAATGAAAAAATAGAGTAAAGCCAAAAAAACAGAAAAAAAGATAAATGACAATCTCATCTATAGAAGGTGCCACATTACCGCTTTCATTCCCAACTTTATATTTATATATAGATTAATATATGTGCCCAAGATAAATTGGTCACTTATTGTGGACTGGAGGGAGTATAATTTTTTTTTTTTTTTTTTGCCTCTATTGAAATTTGAATTCTAAAGTGTATTTGGAGCGAAGAAAAATATTTTACTGAAAATATTTTCTGAAGAAACTTCGCTTCACTATCCATTATCTAACGCTTCTTGAAATCTAGAAACTATTTCAAATGGACCAGCAGTGGAAATTATAAGTGAAGAAAGTTGACGGGTTAATTACTTTAGGCTCATTCACGGGTTGTTGGCTTTTATCACAGTGATGCCCAAATTAGCCCATTAATAATATTGGATGGTTTAAAATGTTTTGGATCAATTTTGTCTCCCCTACAGACGTAAAAATTATACGGGGCGCCCTATTTGGTCGCCCCCATTTAAATTATACCTAGTTTTTAAAAAACTTTTAACTTGTACCCACTTTTTAAATAACTTCAGCCCCTTTCTCCTCCTTCTTCTTCTTCTTCTTCTTCTTCTTCTTCTTCTTCTTCTTCTTCTTCTTCTTCTTCTTCTTCTCATCGTCCAATTCATAATCTTATAGGGAATCGAAGGAATTACCTAGACTTATTCTTTTTACTTTCTCATGTACATAATAATGATGTGAATGCTTGAATTAGTCAAAAAGCAAATACCATGCTATAAATATCATCATTGTTGTTGTCAGTTTCCTCATCAAGAAATCCAAAAGGAAAACAAGCTAGATATGGCTAAATACACAGCCTCGTTGCCCTTCTCTTCTGTCTTCTCCTTGTCGCTGCTACTGGTGAGTCAAATTAAGTAGCTTATTTTTTTAATCAAATTAAAGGATTGGGATGTTCAGGATTGTCCCAAGATGCAAAACAAAAACTTCCTTCGATAAAAACTTCAGCTCTAGAGCTGAAGTTCGACAGTTCCAAAATAATTCAGCTCTAGAGCTGAAGTTCGCCAGCTACAAAACAGAAACTTCAGCTCTAGAGCTGAAGTTCGCCAGTTACAAAACAAAAACTTCAGCTCTAGAGCTGAAGTTCGCCAGTTACAAAACAAAAACATCAGCTCTAGAGCTGAACTTCAGGCCCGACTACTAGAATGCTGAAGTTTTGCGTGATTGCCTTTGCTACTTCAGCCCCGTATGCTGAAGTTATGCGGAAAAGCGGGTACGCTTGCAAATTTTTTTGCAAAGCGGACACAAGTTAAAACGTGACACAAAAAGCGGTTATAGATGTAAATGCCCCCCTATAGACTTCAATCTAACAGTTTTTCTTTTTCATTCAAAATCAGCTCCGTCACAAATTTACTTGCGGTAGAATTATCTCTGAACAAATTAAAAAAACAAGGATCCGAAAGTCGAAGCATTATAAGAGCATTGTATATGGTCGAAACCGGGCTCGTCTACTACATGATAGATCGGGTTCGAAACGTGAGGAATTGAAGATCGACCTCGAGTCCTATCAATTATTTTTCAATCTAAGCTATTTATATATTTATTGCTCAAGTGAGTGTTGTTGCTCCCAAACGCACACGCAAGTATACGTGGTCGACAAGTAATATAGGATTGTAAGTCCAGATATCGTACCCACAGGGACTTGTGATTAACTATCAACTAAATTAAACCAAACAATTAATTTATTCAAGCAAATCCTAACGTATGAATATTTAGCTAAAACTAATCTAAAGTAACAAACTAAGAGATAAAAGAAAACAAGTTGGCGAGTTATAGAGACGAATTCAATGTGAGTGAATATTCGAGAGCTATGGGTTAGCTAACAATACCGTTAAGTTTTCTACCTAAATTATCTAATTAATTTATCTAGTTTATTGATTGACGGGGTTAATATTGCTCGTAGCCTTCTCCCGAAGTACAACTCGCCTATTCAAGCTAACCTAACGCCTATATTCCTATGGAATTAGGACTAACAAGAACGCATTTATAATTCTTGTATAATAACCAAGCAAGGCGATTAGGTGTATTCCTATCCTAACCGCAAACTCCCCCCCCCCCAGAGTTAAGATCTTGCTCTACTCAATCTTATATGCAATCTAGAATTCCTTCTCCCGAGTTCAATCCTATATTCATAGATAGTATTCAATTGGTGATCAAGCAATCAAATAATTAAGCGCAAGATTGAATAAATAAAACAATATGATAAAATAATAAGAACAACTCAAGCTTTAAACTACAACGTTCATGTAGCATCCAAAACTCTAGAACTAATGAACTATGGGATTAAAGGAAGAGAGGAGAAGAAAAACTAGTTAGAATCCTCCTTCAAGCGTGGTCTGTGTTCCCCCACGTGAATTCTCCTTCAAAGTGTGTTAGATCCCTCCAAAGTGGTGTATCTCCCCCTCGAAAATATGTTTAGTCTTGCTTTTATACGTGTTGGGTAAGTCTAGGACCGAAATAACCTTGTCCCGGGCGAAATTGGAGAAAATTCATGTCATTGGCGCCCTGGCTAGCGCTAGGCGCCCATCACGGCGCTCCAATATTTTAGCTTCAGTTTCTAGCGCCACAGGTAGGGGCTGGGCGCCACCTGTGGCGCTGAAATGTCCAACTTTCCTATTTTTGTCCGTTTTGGCTCTAATTT